TTCTAGAAAGCTCCAGGATAAGGGAAGAGGCCCAACCTTTCCAGATGGAGAGCAAGTAGGAGCCAAACTGGCTGGAGGCCTGACAGGCTGGATTGATAACAAGGCCGAGTCTCTGAGGTAGCTCAGCCAGGAGAACGTTGGCCAGTTGACCCCAGAGAGGGGGGCTGCTGCAGCTGAGAGCTTCGCCAGAGGCATGTAGCACACAGGAGGGGAAGAGCCTCACGTTGAGAGTCACGCACACGCATTTATTATACACATACTCACGTAGGCATACAAGAATAAATAGAAAGGGAAACTGAGGCCCAGAGGGAAAGAGGAAGTTAGCAGCTTGTCTTCATGTGGGCTTCTGCCATAAGCCGCTCTATTTCAGGTCTCCATCCAGCTGGCTGGTTGACAAGCAGAGCCACTTAAAATACCTGTCCCGAGCCTGTTGGCTTAGCCTGTCTCTAAGGATTGCAATAAATCCCTCCTTTAGCTATGTTTCTGTGATAAGCAGCACGTAGGTTTTAAGCCCACAAGAGCATCTGATCTTACCATCAGTGCCTGCACACGTGGAAGGAAGGTGGGGCGGGTGTGGGGCACCCCCAGGCTCACTAGGAAACCTGAGCCAGGAGGCAGGGTAAAAAGCCCCACTGAACACCCTGGACATTTTTTAGTTTGTTTTATTTTATAATAATGTCTATTTTCCTGGGTATAAAAGTGAATATATATCCAAGGTATTAAAGTTTAATATTATTAAAGAATAACAAATAAGGAAAAAAGTTCCCTGCCATCCTATTACCCAGAGATATTAGGTTAAGCTGCATGTGGTGGCCATTTTTGTAGGTCAGATTGGCTGAATATCAGCCATTTCATATGGTTCAACCTAATCTATTGGCATATTTCCTTCCAAACACTTTCTTTCCCTTTAAATTTATGTCTTTGAGATCATGACATATACATGTTTATGCCCAACTTTTGTTCTTCATAAAACATTATAATGTCAGCATTTTCCCCGAGTAATGAAAAACTTCCTGGGAGCAGTCTTTTTTTTTTTTAAAGATTTTATTTATTTATTTCACAGAGAAATAGCCAGAGCAGGAACACAAGCAGGGGGAGTGGGAGAAGCAGGCTTCCCACCAAGCAGGGAGCCCAATGTGGGGCTCGATCCCAGGACCCTGGGATCATGACCTGAGCCGAAGGCAGACGCGTAACGACTGAGCTACCCAGGTGCCCCATGGGAGCAGTCTTTTTAATGGTTATATAATATTTCATCCTTTGGGGACCATCAAGGTCATTTCCAGTTCCAGGTTGAGCTGTTCTAGCTCTGGTGCCCCAGGCCTGAGGAAAGAAAGAGCCTTGTTTCTGGTGCTGTGTTGGCCAGGGAACAGGCCGGGATCAGGTCCCAGCAGAGCTGGGGAGGGAGCTCTGGTGACAGGCGGCCGGAAGGCAGCTGGCCCTTGTCTCTCTGGGGGACATGTGCTGAGTGCAGACAGAGGCTGGGTAGTGGAAAAGTTTGCCCCCGAGAGGGGAGTGGGGAAGTGCAGAGTGGGGAGAGGGGCACGCTTACTGCCAGGGACCAAAATAGGATTCTGGAGGAGAGTCAGATTCCAGCAAAAGGCTTCTCTTGCCCAGAAAGGATTATTTTAAGTGCTCAGGTATTGATTTCAGTGACTGACACATCTACAATTTCTGTGTTAACTGAGCTGGGTCAGCCTGAGAAGCCAGCTTTCTTCCCAAAGTGCTCTCTCTACCTTAGGCTCCCCCATGGTCAGTGGCAGGGTCAGGCGAAGCCCTTTGAGTGAGACAGAGATTGTCACCCTTTACCATGCTTCCTGTGATGTCTGTGCACCCACCTGGTTTCCTAGCAGAAGCGAGAGGATGACACAGAGGGAGGGGGAGAAAGGGAGAGAGAGGAGGGGGAGGTGATAAGGGACCCTTTCTAGTGTTGATTGGTGCAGGGGCTGACATTGGCTGTCAGTCAGTAGAAAAGTCACTAGCCTTTTTGAGCCTCACTTTTCACATATATAAAATGGGAATAGGGGTGCCTGGGTGGCT